TGGATGTAACAACGTTGCGGTAAGACTTCAAGCATTATAGTTTGAGAGAGGCAAAATTAATAGGATCGACATGTTCTGCTTCTAAACTTTCGGGGGGACGAGGGGGCGCTCCTTAACAGTGCCAGGATTCTTTAATGGTTTGGTTCCCCGCTACGGATCCGTGGTCTGCAAACAATCGAGCATGCTCTATTCACCAAGATTTCAAAGAGGTCATACAACTCTTGATCAGAAGATGCTTGGTTAACTTTCGGGGGGACGAGGTGGCGCTCCTTAACAGTGCCAGGATTCTTTAATGGTTTGGTTCCCCGCTACTGACCCGTGGTCTGCAAACACTGTACCCGTGATCGTGCCTTTTTTATACCACCAATATAGTGGTAGTATATAGCTAGTTGACGATGTTGCAAAAAAAGAGTAAAAGTGTTTACGTTTCCCACCCCCATGATCTGCTTCAGAGGTAGAGATCACGTGGAAACACACAGAAATTGTTTTAGTTGTTTTTGAGAAAACAACTGTTGACCGGGTATTATGTGGAAATTGTTCACAATAAGAATCTTGAACTGTAATTGTGCAATATTCGTATAACAACGTCTGTGTATAGGTGTTGAGAGCTCAAACTACGAAACAACTGACAGGTTACTTGTCAACCTTCCTTCAGAGAGAGTTCACCAGTTTATATGCATGATATGCGGAATTTGGGTCCAGGGAACACTTGACAAATCAACTTTCAAATTTAATTTGTGAAAGATGAAAATGTTTGAAGCTCAACATCGCTTCCAACTTCTTACTTCCGTCAACCGTTTTGGAAAAGCTTCCCATTTCCGTAAATATGTGTTAGGAGATAGAAACCCTAAGATGTCCCCCACGATGTACCTTAAATTGACCGTAATACGTTCAGGTCTCTTTGACATCTGTTTTGCACATATTCTATATGTTTGCGCCAAGTGAGGTGTTTGTCTAGGATCACCCCTAGAAATTTGGCGGATTTTTCGAATTTGATTGATTTGCCGTTTATGGAGAGACGGGGTATCATAGCATCTTTCCCACTGCAGCGTTTGAATAGAACTCCGACAGTTTTTTTTTCACTTGAAAGGGTGATCCCCCGTTTATTACACCACTGATGACCCAAGCTACTGAAACAAACCCTATATACCCAGGTAACATATTTTGAAAAATTAGATTAAAACTGGAGTACAGACTTGACTTGAAGTAAAATAAAATAAATACATTAACAATTAATTCACCAAAGAATATATTATTGCTTCATATATATTATTGTAAGAATATTAACCATGCATTAAATACCGATTAGTTGTCTTTTTGTCATATCATAACATTTCACAATAACATTTGTGCTAAAACTCCAGCTTGGCAAGTAGTATGTATACCTTGGTCTCTGTGGTAATCCTATGTACTCCAGTTAGGACTGGTCGATCCATTACTCAGCAGGTGTTGTCTTAATTAGTCCCCACCTGGCCTCCTCCAAGGCAGTGTGACAACTGGGAATATAGAGGTGTGTGACAACTGGGAATATAGAGGTGTGTAACAACTGGGAATATAGAGGTGTGTAACAACTGGGAATATAGAGGTGTGTGACAACTGGGAATATAGAGGTGTGTAACAAATGGGAATATAGAGGTGTGTAACAACTGGGAATATAGAGGTGTGTGACAACTGGGAATATAGAGGTGTGTGACAACTGGGAATATAGAGGTGTGTAACAACTGGGAATATAGAGGTGTGTAACAAATGGGAATATAGAGGTGTGTGACAACTGGGAATATAGAGGTGTGTAACAACTGGGAATATAGAGGTGTGTGACAAATGGGAATATAGAGGTGTGTAACAACTGGGAATATAGAGGTGTGTGGCAACTGGGAATATAGAGGCGTGTGACAACTGGGAATATAGAGGTGTGACAAATGGGAATATAGAGGTGTGTAACAACTGGGAATATAGAGCTGTGTAACAAATGGGAATATAGAAGTGTGTAACAAATGGGAATATAGAGGTGTGTGACAACTGGGAATATAGAGGTGTGTGACAACTGGGAATATAGAGGTGTGTAACAACTGGGAATATACATGTAGAGGTGTGTAACAAATGGGAATATAGAGGTGTGTGACAACTGGGAATATAGAGGTGTGTGACAACTGGGAATATAGAGGTGTGTAACAACTGGGAATATACATGTAGAGGTGTGTAACAAATGGGAATATAGAGGAGTGTGACAACTGGGAATATAGAGGTGTGTGACAACTGGGAATATAGAGCTGTGTGACAAATGGGAATATAGAGGTGTGTAACAACTGGGAATATAGAGGTGTGTGACAACTGGGAATATAGAGGTGTGTAACAACTGGGAATATAGAGCTGTGTAACAAATGGGAATATAGAGGTGTGTAACAAATGGGAATATAGAGGTGTGTGACAACTGGGAATATATACGGTGTGTGACAACTGGGAATATAGAGGTGTGTGACAACTGGGAATATAGAGGTGTGTGACAAATGGGACATGTAACTAATGGGGATAAACCGTTGATGTTGGTGTCGTTGTTGTGTGAGTGGCGGGTCCTACTGGTAGGTCAGGACATGCTTACCCTTATCGGGAACACCTGGTGTCAGTGATTTTCGGTGATCCATTTTCATAATATTCACCCAATGGAAACTGTCTTACCAGATAATCGAAACTAGCTGTCGTTATTCATATATATTCATTTGCATTTATTAGCGGGACTGTAATTTAGAACATACCCACGTCCATACTCGCATATCCACATTCGATATCGATGTCATTAAAATAAAAGCTTAGTTCTCACGACCGCTTCACAAAGATCCAGTTACAGGTTACGTCAGAACGTCTAATGAAACAGGAACAGGATGTCGACATTAGCCAATTAGAAAGCAGCTTTCTCGAGCTTTACGGCTCGTTTCACAATGACGACAACACCAGACATCGCTTTGAAAAATATTTTGACAAAGTTCTCGATTAAAAATTTGAATAATTAACAAATGAAAATTCTGGAATGTCTAACAGATGGCCAAGATTGCACGGCAGTACTTAGTTCCTGCAAGCTAAGGAAAGTTTCTTCCGTTTCAAATGTTAATCCTATTGAAACATGAGATAGACGATGGATGTCGTTCGGATTGGCCCGTGTTTACTCTTTCGAGGTCGCATTATCAGAAACCAAATTTGGACTTTCACATTGGCGATCTCGTAAAAAGCGACGCTTTTATTAGTCGGATGAAAAGTGATCTGTAATGGGATGTCTTCAGATCTTTGTGTAGTGGTAGCGATCACTTAGTTTTGATTTTAATGAGAATTCATCGTCTTTATGACTGCGTGGCTGTGTATTTATACAGGCGTGTCAGACAGACCAGAATGGAAACTACTACAGTCTAGGAAGCCAACAGTCTGCCACGTTCACGAATGACGCCACAAATGGACTCCAGATACGATACAGCGCCACTGAAGATGCAACAAGGTGAAGCAATTTTTTTGTTGTCGAATTCAATCCTAAATCTGAATTTAGAAAAAAGCATCTTCGCTCACTGAGACTGCAATGTCATTCGCACTATCAGTTTCACATTTGATCGCCTAAAGAAGTATTAGTATCATATTTGATCGCCTGAAGAAGTATTAGATTCACATTTGATCGCCTAAAGAAGTATTAGTTTCATATTTGATCGCCTAAAGAAGTATTAGTTTCATATTTGATCGCCTGAAGAAGTATTAGTTTCATATTTGATCACTTGAAGAAGTATTAGTTTCATATTTGATCGCCTGACGAAGTATTAGTTTCACATTTGATCGCCAGAAGAAGTATTAGTTTCATATTTGATCGCCTGAAGAAGTATTAGTTTCATATTTGATCACCTGAAGAAGTATTAGTTCACATTTGATCGCCTAAAAGAGTATTTGTTTCATATTTGATCACCTGAAGAAGTATTAGTTTCATATTTGATCACCTGAAGAAGTATTAGTCTATATTTGATCGCCTGAAGAAGTATTAGTTTCACATTTGATCACCTGAAGAAGTATTTATATATAATTTTAGTTTCATATTTGATCACCTGAAGACTGTAGTATTTTAAATTAGAAAATAGTGCCACACAGTGATCAACACATTGTTTCGTGATGACTGAATTGTCCTTTATGATTGAAATGACAGTGGACCTGCCGTAAACTTAGATACGCACTGCCTGTTGACTCGCGAAACGGAGGTTACCATGCTTGCTCAGTCTTGTGGGTCATTGAAAATATGTAAATTAAGGATTGTGTGTTTTCTCCGGTTCACTGAAGTACGATTTGCAAACTGTAGGAATCCCCTTAACTTGCTTGGGATTTGTGTTTAAAGTAGTACATCTCGGTGGGCGTAGCACATAGCTTTACATAAAAAAATAACTTATGTCGTATTATAGCTATAAAAGATAGAATTATCATTAAACCGCCCACAAGTTATCAGAAATGAGTGGGCCACTGTAACTTGATAATGCCCTCATATTGCTCGACGACGGGCCACTATCACGCCCGTTGTTAGGTGACGTCATAGGATAGGGATTGCTGACGTCACATTCAAAAGTGACGTCATCTGGTTTGTTCTTTACGTTACCGATGTTGTTGTTCTTTTTATTTGATAACAAATTCCATCCATTTCAGCGATAATAACGGTAACGCTATTTTTCAGGGCATTATCATTTGCAGAAGCTCCTTCGTCGGGCAGTTAATGGAAGACCTCGTGCTTCTGCAAATGATAATGCCCTGAAAAATAGCGTTACCCTTATATTATTGGTAATGCGAAACAACCAGAGAACTGATACAGATCGGCTGAGATAATAAAGTAATGAATTCTTACTCGATACACAATTTCTTGTTAACGAAGTACTGTAAATCTTATGAAATGTTAATTGGGCATTTCAGAACAAGTTTTGTAACCCTCATATGTGACCGGAACTCCGTCGGGACGTTCACGGTTGATGGAGAAAACCCTCCTGGGAGTGCTAATTATGTAAGTATGTGAGTGAGTGAGTTGGTCATACTTTCATCTCTCACTTGGATGGTGGGGTAGCCTTGCGGTTAAAGCGTTAGCTCGTCATGCGGAAGGCCCGTGTTCGATTTCCCACATGGGTACAATGTATGAAACAAATTTCTGGTGTCCCTCGCCGTGATATTGCTGGAATATTGCTAAACGTAACCACTCACTCACTCTATCATTGCAGCCAATCAACGAAAAAGCATTCATCGTTTTAAAATTATTATTATTATTATTATTTTGTTATGATGATGATGATGATGATAATGATGATGATGATGATGATGATGATGATGATGATGATGATGATGATGATATCTAATACAAATAAAGCGAAGCTTTGGCAGCGAATGGAGTCTTTATCATAATAGAACGGAGATATAATACACTGGATAATCGGGGATGCCTTTGACTTGATGGAATAAACATAGACAACAAAGATAACACAATGTATTCAAGTTACGACTTCAAGTTTATAATGCATTCCAAAATATGTTGACATGTTAAATTATAAAGCACTGGGACAGGGATGTTCCTATAGCCCAATGATACACTTTTGTCCATAACAGTTTCCGTGCTATTTCATGTCCAGTATTTTTCACTGAGGAGCATCTATGCTTGTCCCACCACCACAACGACGACTACAACGACAACGACAACAGCTGCTCCGACGCCAGCTCCGAGGCCAGCCCCAACGCCATCCCCATCTCCCTTCTTTACAATGAAGACGGTTATCATATTGCTTGGATGTGTCATGTAAGTCAATACACCATATTCAATGATAAAATCGTCAAAAGTCACTGTCAGATTTGACCAACTAAAATGTTTTTGGCTTACAGGTATAAAGATTATTTTACGGAGGACCTACTGGGTATTTGGGTAATCACTTATTTATATATTGAACTTGCGGGGAAAACGGAACAGGAGACCAGTAGTGTGGATCCGGGTGAATAATTGATGCCACGAATTGGTTCACATTTTGTTTCCTTTTGTGAGTGGGTTGGGTTGAAAGCCGCTTTGAGACGTTTATACAAGCCTAACACGTCTTGTCACTTGATACCCTTGGACATGTACCATGTAACATAATGAGTGAGTGAGTGAGTGAGTTGGGTTTAACGCCGCTTTTAACAGTATTCCAGTTATATCGCGGCGTGTCAGCTTAATGTGGGAGGAAAGCCCGAAGTGATGCAGGTCTTAGACGTTTACCACTTCGGTGAAACCCACGAGCACGGGTATGGTGCTGACAAACCTAGAAACATAATTGGGGTGAACCGGGATTCGAACCCACAATCATAGGTTTCTGGCGTGCCCATGGATCATAATGAGGACAAATGTGGTATTCGAACCAACGACCCGCAGATCCTTCTACAGTTAAGGGACACAACTCTGCTCTGCGACATGCGGCGTGTTAGACCACTTGACCGTCCATGACCCCTTAAAGGGGAATTGTATCGTGCAACTAAAACATACCTAGGACTCTCTCAGGTTTCGTGTCCATGGCCACATCTTTCAGATGGAATTGTGGCACTTCAGACAAGGCCACCATTGTCCCATTTTCTATTTTGATCATAATGTAGAGACGATGACTATGTGTTCCTGTTCTTTCAGAGGCTGTTTACTCATTCTGATATGTCTTGCATTCGTTGGCCTTCTGACCAGGAGATCAGAACAGGAGTTGCCTCCCTTCCATGACAAGAGGAAATTAGTTTCGTAAAATTATTAAAAAAACATGATCAAAGTGTTAAAGTCACGCTAAATTTTTGGTTATAAAATCCCATTTAGAGTGCTGATGTTAATAATCAAAATACAAATGAATGTTTTTTTAAAGAAATTGTGTTCGAAATGAATAAACGTAGTTATCGAACTATTCACATATTGCCGAGATAATCCAAATCAAACTACAAACAACAAAAGTACCTCAAATAAAAAACAACAACATGCCAATTAACATTTAATGTTTTATTTGTTAACAACTTCAATTTTATCTCACGGATTTCTGTAAATAACCCAGTCTGGGACAGACAGGCCACTGGGTCGGGGTACGATAACACGGATCAACCATTTTGTCAAGCCTGACCCCCAAATTAACAAAGCCTTCTTGGGGGTATTCTTAACCTGACCTAGAAAATGAGGAATAGGGGTTGAAAACCTTTATAATACAAGATAGGTTTGATTTTCTGAAATCATTTCAATTCAAAACAAGGAGTCATTTGGGCCCGGTAGGCGAGTTAGCTGAGCCTTGAGGGAGTGTTTTGAGCCTGGCTAGTGGAGTCATGTGAGCCTCTAGAATCTTTTGAGCCTCGGCCCATATGAATTTAATCAAATTTAGGGGGAGTCGTTTGAGCCCACTACACCGGCACACGTTATTGGCCACGGGGACCTATTCTCAACCGGTTCCCGACGGGGTTGCTATAATTTCTTGTTCTTCAAACTCCTGTCAGTTCACACCAAGTCGCATGATTGTATCCTGATTAGACACGTGCCAATCCATCATCTACCATTGGATGTGAGGCTCCGCTGAAACCTTCATGTCGCGCTGTGCGACGCCAGGTTTCGTTGGGTTCCAGGGATTTCTTCAATTTCTGAAACATTTCATAATTCACACATTCACAAAGGGGTAAAATAAGGAGTATACGACTGTTGCTGAAAAGTTGTGTGATCAATGTTACAATATACAAGGTCTCAGCAAAGCTTTCCAAAGGTTTAACGATGGACATGTGGTGAACATTTCCAGATTCCACGCATCGGTGAAAGAAATGTCTGATGGGTTTCCTAGTTTTACTTGTACCATATGTTTTTTCAGACGACGAGTTGACTTGCTTTTACATGAGTTTGTAATGGGAATGGAATCGTACAATTAACTTATAGTACGAATATGTTATGATTATGTAAATGTTGTTTCTTGAGTGGTATTTAGGTCAGAGTTGTAGGACTCCTTCACTTGTAACGCAGTTTAAAGACATTGTGTGTCGTCTGTGTGTGATGTGAATGTGTGTGTGTTTGTGTGTGTGTGTGTGTCTGTGTGTGATGTGAGTGTGTGTGGTCTGTGTCTGATGTGAATGTGTGTGTCTGTGTGTGATGTGTGTGTGTGTGTGTGTGGTCTGTGTCTGATGTGAATGTGTGTGTGTCTGTGTGTGATGTGAGTGTGTGTGTGTGTGTGTGTTCTGTGTCTGATGTGAATGTGTGTTCTGTGTCTGATGTGAATGTGTGTTCTGTGTCTGATGTGAATGTGTGTGTCTGTGTGTGTGTCTGTGTGTTTCAGTGTGTTTCTTGTGTGGAACCAAGCATTTGTCCTCGGTCATTGGCCAATGCTCCTTTTAAAAAAAAAAAATCACTTTCAGACTAAAAGATAAGATATTTCGATTCACTGACTAAACATATTCTTTCTCTGACAAGAATCCCAGGCCCGGAATATGCACAAACATTGTAGTTAACTTACTTCATGCAAACGTTTTTAAGGTGTACTGTCACAAGAGGAAACCAACTGTGCCATCGTCTTATACAGGGAATATTATTCAGTGAGGCGCAAAACAACAAACAACAACAACAACAACTATACATCCCTCGTTGTTAAGGTCAGAACGTTTCAGCCACTCCCCGTATGTACCCGTGTAATCCTCATTCACTGAAACATGCTTGCATTCCGCCCACCTTTGTAAGTGTTGTTTCATCTCTGTTGACGACTGTCCAAATGAAGACGACAGGCAGAGGGAGGAGTGACGCCAGAGAGATGAGCCACCCCACAGCTGTAGCCCAGGTGGGGTAGTTGTAGTCACCATACTTCGGAGGTCGGTAGGAATACAGAGAGTAGCAGAACACCAACTGGAGCACCACAAAGAGGACTAACTGGGATTTTAGACCACAAAAGCTACTGTTCCCCCCAACGTTATTCGTTTATGAACGAAATATTGGATCATGAGAATATGGACTGAATTTGTGAACGGTGAATAAGAAAAAATGACAGTTTTAAATAGAATACAACAATGTTTATCCATGTATAAAACTTTACCAAAACGTTCCCGTTGTACCAAAAAGACATGGGACAGGATATGAAGTGAATGAGTGAGTGAGTGAGTGAGTGAGTTGGGTTTAACGCCGCTTTTAACAGTATTCCAGTTATATCGCGACGTGTCAGCTTAATGTGGGAGGAAAGCCCGAAGTGATACAGGTCTCGGACGTTTACCACTTCGGTGAAACCCACTAACACGGGTATGGTGCTGACAAACCTAGAAACATAATCGGGGCGAACCGGGATTTGAACCCACAATCATAGGTTTCTGGCGTGCCTAAGGGACGCAACTCTGCACAGCGAATCGCGGCGCCTTAGACGACTAGGCCACCCTTGCCCCGCAGGATATAAAGGGTGTGACTGACTATGAATGCACGACAAACACATTGTAAAAATTGAAATTTGACCTGAGTAACTCACAACTTCTAAGACTTCAAATAGGTTTGAGCAAGGGTACGCGACATGATTTACTATAATTAAATTGCATAACAAACACATTAACACACTTGTAACGCGAGACTTTCAGTTGGGACGAAACCATCATTTAACTTACAAAGAGTAGTAAAGGACACACGAACTTGATACAGATGACTACAACCCGCGGGATTCTTTGTCCCCACATGTTGTTGATGTCTTCTTGAAGCCTCTCCGTGCCTGAAAGTGAGTGAATGAGTGAATGAGTGACTAGACAGTCCAGTGATTGACATAATGATTAATCGTTCTGTGCAACTGGGACACGATGACATGCGTCAACCAAGTCTGCAGCTCTGACCACCCGAACCCGTTTGTTGCCTCTGACGACAAGCATGGGCTGCTGAAGACGAAAATGAATGAGGGAGTGAGGGAGTTGGGTTTCAATATTTAATTGACATAATCAAGGCGAAACTGGTGCTAGATATTCTAGCGATGCAAGGGGACGCAAGTATACACGGGGAACTAGCCCTACTGGAATGCCAACACTCGGAAGGGAATTAACTCCAGGACGTACCATTTAACTAAAGCATTTATCCATGACATAAGCTTATGACATAAAAACATGTATGTCATACCCCAATGACATAAGTATGCAAATTAGATATGCAAATTAGATAACCGGAAGTGGGACTTTTTTCGCCGGTGCACGTGAGTAGGTGTTTACAAACAACATGGATACCTTTGATGTTGGAGACATTATTTCAATTATTGTGCAAAAGTCTGTTCAAGTATTTTGTTTAAAATAATCCGAGGAACTTTTTTTCTCAGCGAAGGAATATGCCATAAAGGAGTTAAGAGGTTGTTTATTTTGGTTTACACGGCTATGAAAAACATGTATCATTACGCACGATCTATACGTAAGATTTGCTGATGTTAATGTTTAATGCAATTATTCCTTAATTGGGTAGCAAAAATGTGAAAATGATAAATAGAATTCATCACGAGTGTTTTTTAATACGGGAAATATCAACCTCGTCCCGTTAATCGGTATTTGACTCGTCAAAGGTTCGGCAAAAGGCTCGGCAAATACCGATTAACTAAGACTCGGTTGACATTCCCATATTAAAAAGCACTCGTGATGAATCCTCTATTTACCTCCTGCTGCAAATATACCCCAGTTCGTACTTCCCTCATGCTCAGCAGTATCTCTTACTTTTCGATATTGTTTTTATGGTATGTTCATCTCATGCTTGTTACGGGGCGGTCGGGTAGCCTAGTGGTTAAAGCGTTCGCTCGTCACGCCGAAGACCAGGGTTCGATTCCCGACATGGGTACAATGTGTGAAACCCATTTCTGGTGTCCCCCGCCCTGATATTGCTGGAATAGTGCTAAAAGCGGCGTAAAACCATACTCACTCACTCATACTTGTTACATATATCAAGACCCGAGAAGATCCGGGGTAGAATAGGTCTTCAGCAACCCATGCTTGCCGTAAAAGGAGACTATGCTTGTCGTAAGAGGCGACTAACGGGATCGGGTGGTCAGGCTCACTGATTTGGTAAATGCATGTCATCGATCCCAATTGCGTGGATCGATGCTCATGATGTCAATCACGGGATTGTCTGGTCCAGACTCGATTATTCACAGACCGCCGCCATATAGCTTGAATATTGCTGAGTGCGGCGTTAAACAACAAACAAACAAACAAACAAACAAAACACACATCAATATCAATACCATATGTGGAACACTCAGCACAGAGTATTGAATATGATGAACAGAGATTATTAGCCTATTGCTCCGTAATATGAATTCATATATCAGCAATACAAATTGTATTATATATATTTCCATTTACCAATTTAACTTTACAAATCGGCATTTGCAAATAGAATTGGCAAAAGCCTTCCAATAATCTTAAGAAATCTCTTCAACAAGCTTGTATTTATGAATCACTATCAAATCAAGCGACACCTATAGGCAAGTAGACCCGTGAAGATTCCGGGGTAGAATAGGTCTTCAGCAACCCATGCTTGCCGTAAAAGGTGACTATGTTTGTCGTAAAAGGCGACTAACGGGATCGGGTGGTCAGGCTCGCTGATTTGGTTGATGCATGTCATCGATCCCAATTGCGTGGATCGATGCTCATGATGTCAATCACTGGATTGTCTGGTCCAGACTCGATTATTCACAGACCGCCGCCATATAGCTTGAATATTGCTGAGTGCGGCGTTAAACAACAAACAAACAAACAAAACTCACATCCATAAGTGGAATACTCAGCACAGTATTCAGTATTGAATATGATGAACAGAGATTATTAGCCTAGTGCTCCGTAATATGAATACATATATCAGCAATACAAATTGTATTATACATATTTCCATTTACCAATGTAACTTTACAAACCGGCATATGCAAATAAGATTGGCAAAAGCCTTCCAATAACCTTAAGAAATCTCTTCAACAAGCTTGTATTTATGAATCACTATCAAATCAAGTGATATGACTCACTGACATACATAGGCAAGTAGACTTTGTGTTTATGTATGGATCGCAATGCAAACACTTCATGCTAGTGACATGCGTATACTTGTCGGATTGTAATATCCATTTCATCAAATTGGTTTTCGTATCAAATGACACTATCAAGTATATGATAAGTGATAATGCCAGATCGTATATATATATGTTTAACAGATGGTGTTGGATAAATACCAACTTACGCGCAACCGATGGCAAATCATTGGTAATACAGTAAAGTACGGTTATAACGAACTCGAAGGGACTACTAATTTTAGTTCGTTATAACCGTAGTTCGTTATAAGCATATATACAGCAGAACTACAGCAAATAGTCGGGACCAAAAAGTAAGTTCGTTATATCCGTCAGTTCGTTTTAAGCGTGTTCGTTATAACCGTAGTTTACTGTATATACCACACAGTTGATGTATTAACACACACAGTCCTAATGTAAAGTTGTTGCAAATCAGAATTATTCTTTTTAATATTCTAAGTGCCTATCGTGTTCAAACTTAGAGGCGACTACCAGGAACGGGTGGTTAGGCTCGCTTACTTGGATGCATGTCATCGATCCCAATTGCGTGGATCGATGCCCATGATTTTAATCACTGGATTGTCTGGTCCAGACTCGATTATTTAGAGACCGCCGTCATATAGCTGGACTATTGCTAAGTGCGGCGTTAAACAACAAACCAACCAACCAAGAAACATGTGTATCTATAATTCATGCGAAATTTCAGCCTTTGGAATTTGGAGTTTTTTTCAAATACATTTTGTTTTCAAAAGAAACTTCCTTATTATATATGTGGGAATGAGCGTATCAAGAATCAATGTCTACACGCGACGGCAGACGTCGGACAACAGATGCACGCGGTATCATTTATATCAGGCCATTTGATATCAGTCCCCACGCTGAAAGCATCACCTACTCACATCCATATGTGGAATACTCAGCACAGTATTCAGTATTGAATATGATGAACAGAGATTATTAGCCTAGTGCTCCGTAAGATGATTACATATATCAGCAATACAAATTGTATTATACATATTTCCATTTACCAATGTAACTTTTACAAATTGGTTTTCGTATCATATGACACTATCAAGTATATGATAAGTGATAATGCCAGATCGTATTTAATATATGTTTAACAGATGGTGTTGGATAATTACCAACTTCCGCGCAACCGATGGCACATCATTGGTAATATGTACCACACAGTTGATTTATAAACACACACAGTCCTAATGTAAAGTTGTTGCAAATCAGAATTTTTCTTTTTAATATTGTGTGCCAATCGTGTTCAAACTTAGAGGCGACTACCAGGAACGGGTGGTTAGGCTCGCTTACTTGGTTGATGCATGTCATCGATCCAAATTGCGTGGATCGATACCCATGATTTTAATCACTGGATTGTCTGGTCCAAACACGATTATTTAGAGACTGCCGTCATATAACTGGAATATTGCTAAGTGCGGCGTTAAACAACAAACCAACCAACCAAGAAACATGTGTATCTATAATTCATGCGAAATTTCAGCCTTTGGAATTTGGAGTTTTTTTCAAATACATTTTGTTTTTAAAAGAAACTTCCTTATTATATATGTGGGAATGAGCGTATCAAGAATCAATGTCTACACGCGACGGCAGACGTCGGACAACAGATGCACGCGGTATCATTTATATCAGGCCATTTGATATCAGTCCCCACGCTGAAAGCATCACCTACTCACTCAGAGAAATTGAAGAATATTGGTTTATGTCTTACCATAACACCAGGGGGCACGGGTGGCCCAGTCGATTCGCTGTGCAGAGTTGCGTCCCTTGGGCACGCAAGAAACCTATGATTGTGGGTTCGAATCCTGGTTCGCCCCAATTATGTTTCTAGGTTTGTCAGCACCATACCCGTGCTCGTGGGTTTCACCGAAGTGGTAAACGTCTGAGACCTGCATCACTTCGGGCTTTCCTCCCACATTAAGCTGACACGCCGTGATATAACTGGAATACTGTTAAAAGCCGCATTAAACCCAACTCACTCACTCACTCACTTACCATAACACCAGCCGACTACGATGCATTCCAGCATAGCGAACACAGCGACAGAGGGAAAGTAGGCGTACCAGTCCACCAGCGTCACGACGTATATACCGCCCTATAATGTATATGGGGTAATAGTTGATAGAAGTGACATACACAGACTAAAATCTGTCTAAATTTGGCACGTCAACGCCATGCCAAAAAGTGGTAAAATGTATGTGAATGGTTTACTGAAAATCAGCTCACACAATATCCATGAAAAGGTAAGTGTTTGATTGCTGCCTTATGCCACACACAGCAATGGTCATGCCATACGACGCCACAATTAGTGAAGTATATTTGGGATAATATTTATTTAAAGTGCTTTTTTTGAAAAGCAGATATGAAAGCAAGACCAGGCAATAAGAAGACAACAGCTACCTTACCTACAATAACGCCATACTTTTGATACACCTCTACGGAAAGAATGGCCGATCTTTTTTCACTCTAATTAGAAAATACAATATCTGAAATTTAAAATCCGTTACCCAAATAGAACCCGCTCACCCACCCGCCCACCCACCCACCCACCCGCTCGCTCGCTCGGCCGAAGCCTATTCCCATCCACCCTCTGACTCACTCACTCACTCACTCACTCACTCACTCACTCACTCACTCACTCACTCACCCACCCAACCATCCACTCACTCACTCACTCACTCACTCACTCACTCACTCACTCACTCACTCACTCACTCACTCACTCACTCACTCACTCACTCACTCACTCACTCACTCACTTACTTGGGAAACATATATAAGACTGAACAGCAGGAGGCTAAAGAGTACTGCAGAGTTAACCAGCCAGTGTCGCCTTATAAGTTGGGGAAACAGGTCCTCTATCGCAGCTACGACGAGTTCGATGCCAGGGACCTGAGAAAGGGTAAATAATTGGGACAGAATAAATCAAAGATTAATCGGCCAATACAACATGTGTTGAACCATGTATGTACGATAGAGTATCAAAAGGTGTTTGAACCCAGCATACATGGAACTAAAATATGGTTGTTAGGTTTAACTATTTCTCAACATTGTCCCCTTGTAGTCTAACGTCTATTTATCACATAGGGCTTTCCTCTAATACCGTTATGACACACCGTCAAATAATTTTAGTAAATTTCAAAGGAACATTAAACCTGAAATTATTCAATCAGGCTGATCAGTGGTTAGAATAGACTCTCAGGATATCAGTTAAACAGGCGTCTAATTATATCCAAAACTGGGGTGAAATAGGTTTGAATGTTATTTTCAAGAACTTATATATTAGACCACAGACCTTTCGCTCTCTGGACAGACGCTCTATCCACTAGACCATGGCGGCGGTCTCTAACCAAAGGCGTCACTCCTAACTTACCATAGAATCTAAAGCCAGCGACATCAGTGTGACAAACTCACTCACTCACTCCAAACTTACCATAGAATCTATAGCCAGCGACATCAGTGTGACAAACTCACTCACTTACTCCAAACTTACCATAGAATCTATAGCCAGCGACATCAGTGTGACAAACTCACTCACTCACTCCAAACTTACCATAGAATCTATAGCCAGCGACATCAGTGTGACAAACTCACTCACTCACTCACTCCAAACTTACCATAGAATCTATAGCCAGTGACATCATTGTGACAAACGTCAACACAGACCATAACTGGGGCAAAGGGAGAGACGCCAGGACATCGGGGTATACAATGAATGCAAGGTTGTATCCTGAAAAAAAACAGCGCCATTTCCGAACATGTCCCGACACATTTGGCGGTAGATATCCAAACCTTACATTACAAGTGTCGTGCTTACATTATTATAGCATATTGGCTTTTATTTCAGTCTTGAGAGGGCGGTCGGGTAGCCTAGTGGTTAAAGCGTTCGCTCGTCACACCGAAGACCCGGGTTCTATTCCCCACATGGGTACAATGTGTGAAGCCAATCTTTGGTGTCCCCCGCCGGGATATTGCTGGGATATTGCTAAAAGCGGCATTAAACAATACTCACTCACTCACTTCAGTCTTGAGAGGTTCTTAGGGATGTTTGTATAGTGCAAGGCGATTATGTTGTTTATGATTATTAATACATTTGGTATGATTTTACTGGGTATGTGAGTGAATGTTCTTTATTCCTGCAGTCATATTACATATAACAGACCGCCATCATATTGCTGGATAGATTGCTAAGTGCGGCGTTAAACAACAAACAAACCAAAATACTTATACAAGAAGCATATATTCCTGGGGACCTATTCTAGCCTGGTATTCAGAAGGGGTTGTGACTCCTTTGAGTCACTCACTCACCTGATGATTCGAAAGCAGCCACGTTTACGCCACGTAAGTAGGCGACGTGGCCAACGCAAGCGAAGAAAGCAAGTCCGATGAAAATGCTGGAGAAACAGTCAATCAAGCACATCACTAATGCATCCCTAGAAGAAATAAAACCTAAATCAAACAACAAAGTGTACATCATTCAGTTGTTGCTTACATTTTTTAAGCTTTGAAATATACATGGATCTTGTACTGGCTGCGATCGTCAATTTACATGTAATTGACCAAATTGTACAGATGATAAGCATCATGAAGCAATATACAGTGTTACTCAGCATCATGAAGCAATATACAGTGTTACTCAGCATCATGAAGCAATATACAGTGTTACTCAGCATCATGATGCAATATACAGTGTTACTCAGCATCACGAAGCAATATACAGTGTTACTCAGCATCACGAAGCAATATACAGTGTTACTCAGCATCATGAAGCAATACACAGTGTTACTCAGCATCATGAAGCAATATACATTGTTACTCAGCATCACGAAGCAATATACAGTGTTACTCAGCATCACGAAGCAATATACAGTGTTACTCAGCATCATGAAGCAATACACAGTGTTACTCAGCATCATGAAGCAATACACAGTGTTATTCAGCATCATGAAGCAATATACAGTGTTACTCAGGCTCACGAAGCAATATACAGTGTTACTCAGCCTAACGAAGCAATATACAGTGTTACTCAGCATCACGAAGCAATATACAGTGTTACTCATGATCATCATGCAATATACAGTGTTACTCAGCATCACGAAGCAATATACAGTTTTACTCAGCATCATGAAGCAATATACAGTGTTACTCATGATCATCATGCAATATACAGTGTTATTTAGCATCGTGAAGCAATATACAGTGTTATTTAGCATCGTGAAGCAATATACAGTGTTACTCAGCATCATGAAGCAATACACAGTGTTATTCAGCATCATGAAGCAATATACAGTGTTACTCAGGCTCACGAACCAATATACAGTGTTACTCAGCCTAACGAAGCAATATACAGTGTTACTCAGCATCATGAAGCAATACACAGTGTTACTCAGCATCATGAAGCAATACACAGTGTTATTCAGCATCATGAAGCAATATACAGTGTTACTCAGGCTCACGAAGCAATATACAGTGTTACTCAGCCTAACGAAGCAATATACAGTGTTACTCAGCATCACGAAGCAATATACAGTGTTACTCATGATCATCATGCAATATACAGTGTTACTCAGCATCACGAAGCAATATACAGTTTTACTCAGCATCATGAAGCAATATACAGTGTTACTCATGATCATCATGCAATATACAGTGTTATTTAGCATCGTGAAGCAATATACAGTGTTATTTAGCATCGTGAAGCAATATACAGTGTTACTCAGCATCATGAAGCAATACACAGTGTTATTCAGCATCATGAAGCAATATACAGTGTTACTCAGGCTCACGAACCAATATACAGTGTTACTCAGCCTAACGAAGCAATATACAGTGTTACTCAGCATCATGAAGCAATACACAGTGTTACTCAGCATCATGAAGCAATACACAGTGTTATTCAGCATCATGAAGCAATATACAGTGTTACTCAGGCTCACGAAGCAATATACAGTGTTACTCAGCCTAACGAAGCAATATACAGTGTTACTCAGCATCACGAAGCAATATACAGTGTTACTCATGATCATCATGCAATATACAGTGTTACTCAGCATCACGAAGCAATATACAGTTTTACTCAGCATCATGAAGCAATATACAGTGTTACTCATGATCATCATGCAATATACAGTGTTATTTAGCATCGTGAAGCAATATACAGTGTTATTTAGCATCGTGAAGCAATATACAGTGTTACTCAGCATCATGAAGCAATACACAGTGTTATTCAGCATCATGAAGCAATATACAGTGTTACTCAGGCTCACGAAGCAATATACAGTGTTACTCAGCCTAACGAAGCAATATACAGTGTTACTCAGCATCACGAAGCAATATACAGTGTTACTCATGATCATCATGCAATATACAGTGTTATTTAGCATCGTGAAGCAATATACAGTGTTATTTAGCATCGTGAAGCAATATACAGTGTTACTCAGCATCATGAAGCAATATACAGTGTTACTCAGCCTCACGAAGCAATATACAGTGTTACTCAGCATCACGAAGCAATATACAGTGTTACTCAGCATCACGAAGCAATATACAGTGTTACTCAGCATCACGAAGCAATATACAGTGTTACTCATGATCATGATGCAATATACAGTGTTACTAAGTATCATGAAGCAATATACAGTTTTATTTAGCATCGTGAAGCAATATACAGTGTTACTCAGCATCACGAAGCAATATACAGTGTTACTCATGATCATGATGCAATATACTGTGTTACTAAGTATCATGAAGCAATATACAGTTTTATTTAGCATCGTGAAGCAATATACAGTGTTACTCAGCATCACGAAGCAATATACAGTGTTACTCAGCATCATGAAGCAATATACAGTGTTACTCAGCATCATGAAGCAATAAACAGTGTTACTCAGCATTATGACGCAATATACAGTGTTTCTCAGCATCCGGAAGCAATATACATTGTTACTCAGCATCATGAAAATGTCACAAATCGATTAACTTCCCTTCGAATGTGAAACACATATATCATTACCAATGTATTTTACAGACAGATTGATAAACATAACCAGTACTTAACATAGAAGCTAGAGACTGGATTAATAGGTTCACACAGAGATTCGAGGCAACTCGAAATATACCTGAAACAGTTGTTCTTCTGACTGCTGTGCCCAGACATTGTAATGATGCACCCCATGCCAATGCCCATTGTGTACAAGGAGAAGCTACAAGACTGAACCCACACCTAAAACGAAAAACACTATCGTTTTATGTATCTACATCCTGTTAATGTGTACAGAATCATGATAAACTAAGCGGCAAAAGAAAGTATAGGTTGGCAATTTGTAATTTTCCTTAAAACAGCGATAACTAGTGGAAAGTGGGTATTGGGAATACGACTGCCCAGGAACAGGTACCAAAGACACCTCACCCGAACGCGCCACCTTTGACGGCGCTCGTGCGGTGACAAACAAATGGTGAAGCAGGTTTTACGCCTATGGCATTAACTGCACGTGCATGTTAGCTGTATAAATGCGTTCGTCTGCGGGGTATAACCACACGTGATGAAAGCACACAAAAGAAATGTCACGACTGTCACAGGAGCAGAGAGAGAGAGAGAGAGAGAGAGCCATCGGTATGGCCGAAATGGGGGCAACACAGGTCCAAATTGCCAGAAGGTTTGGTTGTACACCATTGATAGTAGCCAGGTTGATTCAACGGTACAGGCAGACGGGGAGGACACAGGACAGGCCTAGAACCGGACGACCCCGAGTGACAACACCACTGGAAGACGGTCAGATACGGCTCATTCACCTGCGAAACAGATTCGTAACGGCGACGGCGACGGCTGCAACAGCGTTGGGACATCCCATTAGCCAACGTACAGTACTACGACGACTTCGTGCTGCTGGAATCCGAGCGTATCGTCCTTCCCGAGGAATGGTTCTGACTGCTCAACATCGACGCCTGAGACTGCGAAGGGCAAAGCAGGTTCGACGCTGGCAAGTGAGAAATTGGCGTCGAGTGCTGTTTACTGATGAAAGTCGGTTTAACTTGTTTCGAAATGACGGCAGAGAGCGAGTTTATCGACGCAGAGGGGAACGTTTGGCTCCGGCGTGTATTCGAGAGGTCCATCCATTCGGCGGGGGAGGTGTCATGGTGTGGGGCTGTATTTGTGGAGATCAGGAGACTGATTTGGTGATTATACAGGGAAACCTGAACGCTGTGCAGTACAGAGACCAAGTGTTGCAGCCAATTGTGCTTCCGTTCTTACAAAACCAACAGCAGGGGACATTGTTTCAACACGACAATGCCAGGCCCCATACTGCAAGACTGACTCGGAACTTTCTAAACCAGCAGAACGTTGACGTTTTGCCCCGGCCTGCCCACTCACCCGATATGAATTCTATTGAACATCTGTGGGATCATCTTGACAGACAGATTAGAGCACGCCATCAGCCTCCCGTCAACAGACAAGAATTGCAGCAGGCCCTGAGAGACGAGTGGCAATGGATTCCAGTCCACGTCATCAGAAGACTGACGTCATCGATGAGGCGGCGTATCACGGCATGCATTGAGGCAGCTGGAGGTCATACACGCTATTGAAGGCAACTGTGTCGACAATGAACTTGTAGTGTGTCTGTCAATTATTTGGTGACATTTCAGACAACTTTTGAAAATGAAATTTCTTACCTCACCATTGTTTACCCTGAGCTTACATTTCCTGTGATTGCACAATTTCACATTGGATCTTGTTTCGACCATGTGACTATGACATGACACGATACAAACTGGCGGCAGTCATGATCATGAACCTTTTCAAATCGCTTATGTTTGTTTTCAAATCAGATAATTCAGACACGCATTCATCATCACCTGTCTTCATCAGCCGTCATTTATCCATGTACAGTGAGTCACTCAACACCACGACTCTTTTATTGCCTGATGTATTTAGTAGCGAGCAGAAGAAACCAAATGGACGCGAGTGTGCAAAAGCTGGTTTTCATGTGACGGTTTCTTGATTTATCTGGTCCAGATTATTTTTTCGAATGGTAAAGAATATAGCCAAAACAGGGAAATGGATGGGCACGTCACAGATCAAATCTTACATTAGGGTCTGTAAGCTTCTCAAACTTGGGATAGATGTAGTAATACATTCCCTCTGCCGACCCCGGAAGTAGACATCCGCGGATGAGGAAGACGGTGAACAGGATGAAGGGAACAGCCACGGTGACGTACACCAGCTGCAACAAACATTTGAGTGAACGTATCCTCAGATGTTTCAGAAAGAAAATCCGGAAATTAAAATGATGTGTTGAAGAAGTAAATGGAGAAATGATCATTTTCTAACAAAAACATCCAAGGTTTTCTACCCCACTAAAGTATTAAAATGTCTGACCCTTAAATTGTCTGACCCTAAGTGAACGACCATTCAGTAAGATAATGGTTGCGTGTGATTTGTCTCTTCTGGCGTATTCTCTTACTTATCACTAAAATGGGAAATGAAATCCGTCTCTCTCAAATATGAAAATGGTAACAAAACATTAGAAAAATTAGTTATGGACTTGTAATCAAAGAGTAGAGTCGCCATGCTGATGAACTGGGTGTGATTTCCAACGCAGGAATAATGTATGGAACCCATTGTTTTTGTCCCCTGCCGAGATGTGCGGATGATTTCTAAGCAAAACCAACACACCCACTTATACTTCAACTGTGGCAAATTCAAACAACATGCAGTGGCCCGCACTGCATTGTCCATTAACTCAACATCCTGTGTTAGTTACCGCCAGTCTCAGTCTCATGCTGTGGACTAGGCCACAGCTATGATGTCTTTTATTTTGTTTTTTTCAAATACCTTCCCTGACACCTTTATGCCTTGGAATATCCACAGAAATAGAATAATATAGGTGACAACCATACACCCAGCAAGATGCCATCTGATGCTACCAAGATGTTCAAGACCATCCGTCACTCCAAGAACATGGATTCTGAAAAAGGAAAACCGTTTAGTGTCACGGCCAGTTGACGTTTCCATTCAAAAGAGCCCCCATGGGGGTTCTGGTTTAGAGTGAGTGAGTGAGTATGGTTTTACGCCGCTTTTAGCAATATTCCAGCAATATCACGGCGGGGCACACCAGAAATGGGCTTCACACATTGTACCCATGTCGGGAATCGAACCCGGATCTTCGGCGTGACGAGCGAACGCTTTAACCACTAGGCTACCCGACCGCCCCTCTGGTTTAGAACAATACGAGGGGACAAACTGTGATTGGATGGTCGCGCCCTAAGTACTCAAGCGACGTGGGTGGAAGTTTGACATGGACGCCAAAAAGTCTTGACAAAAATGATGATGCTTAAGAACTTTTTTTTTCTAAGAATAGCTCAAAGAATATATCATCTCGATACAAAATGCCAACTCTCTCTGTATATCTGTAGTTGGTTGGTTGTTGGTTGGTTTGTTGTTTAACGCCGCACTCAGCAATATTCCAGCTATATGACGGCGGTCTGTAAATAATCAAGTCTGGACCAGACAATCCAGTGATTAACATCATGAGCATCGATCCACGCAATTGGGATCGATGACATGCATCAACCAAGTCAGCGAGCCTGACCTACCGATCCCGTTAGTCGCCTTTTACGGCAAGCATGGGTTGCTGAAGACCTAATCTACCCCGGATCTTCACGGGTCGCTTTTTACGTAATTGGTATATTTGTTTTTTGACAGAATTATTTATTCTTTGCTTTATACCCCTTTGATGGAAGTATATCAGCCCAAGTATATCATTTTATCAGACATTTGGTTCCTATACCAGCATATCAAAGCAAAACTATTAAATACAAAACATTATTAAGACCGCACTTAACAAAATCGAAGGTATCACAAATCACAAGTATTCTGCTCAGTGAAGAACAATTTTCCTGTGGGCACTTCTACGGGATGTTTCATATTCGAATTCATGTAGTCCTGTCATGCTGTGGTATGCTTTGTGAGAGGTTTATTTTACATCTACATTTACTGTATATCTGTAATTTGGTATAACTGCAACAGTTGAAATTGAGCATAATACAGAAATTTAAATACATTTGTTATGGGTACACCCGGTGGACAAGAGTCCGAGATATAAAATGGTTGGGGACATAAAGATTGAACCTGGTCTCCCGGCTAACGAGCCCATGCTTTCTCCACTTGGCCAACCCACCGATCGGCTAAATGTGAAAGTAAGAATAAAAATCTATTCCATATTCATCCAGGCATGCAAGAAATAAAGCGAGAAGGTGGCAATGCTTACTTCCAGAATTCCTCGGCGGCTGTCAACCCTGACACATTGACCAAGTCCCCATGGTCAATACTATTGGAAATCGAACTTGTTTCATTATGTAAAAAAGTCCTGTTGGATATGCAAGTTGGGGTGTTCCATAAATTATCACAGTTGTCCCAGGGTAATTTGTTGGAGAACGAGTTGTAAAAGTAATACATAAACCAAACAAAACCAATGTTGTAGTAACTACAAAAAATCCACCCGACAATTGCACATCCAACGCCTATACCTGAAACAGTACAAGGTGACAAATTACTAAGTTTGAAGGCTATTTGTACTTGTATCCTGGTCATATGACAGTCCTACATAATAGGAAGTGAACATTAATGGGAACCTACTCTCATTTCATGACACAAGCACACAGCAAAAAAAATCCATCAAGCAAGACCAGCCCTATCGATGAGATCTGTCATAGTGAGTAAGTTAATATTTAAAGTCACATCGGCAATATTTCAGCCATATATCACTTGAACAAGTTATGCATTTATATTATATATAAAAAACAGTCGTCGAAAGACGGTACAGCAACAAGCAATATATCACAGATTATAATTGTAAAACTAGTTTTAGAACAATAAAATGAGTGAGTGAGTGAGTTAAATTTTACATCGCATCGGCAATATTCCCGCCATATAGCGATGTGAACTAGGTATTTAATCTAAAATATCTGTTAACAAAGGACAGTAAAATAGTAAGTTATATCACAGTTTTTTTTTAATAAAACAAACTAGATCATAATTTCCTTTAAAAACATATAGTAATAAGAGATTAAGTCCTATCAATTAAAACAAGGCTATAGACCACCAATAACCAAAGTTAGACCACCTTACTGGAGATCATGGGGACTTACAGTACCTATGCTTCCTGCATGACTCCCCAGCAGGATTTATGCCATCACTTTGGTTACCAGTGGATGTACCGTATGCTAGCCAATATTAAAAAACACAAAACAAATTGACAATACAATCAAAGTTCTAAAACGCAAGTCAATATTACTTACCTTGATCGAGAATGGATTTACGTGGCACAAGCAGGAGGACAATATTTTTACACTACTTTAACCACCCGAGTGGCACCACCATCAACAATCTCAGTTGATGTTAATAGTTATTTAAAATGTATATCATCTATCAAAATTTATCTATTAGTTCTATTTCTGTTAAAAATTCAAGAATTAAATGAGTACTGACATAAAATGATCAGATTATGACAGAAGACATGTGATAAAAACAGGCTGTTCCAGTTAAAACCTTTCACCTTGTTACCATTCTTACCTTTAAAGAGAGGACACATGTTCCAGACGTTGATTGATCCGCTCTGACTTAACTGTCCAATAGTCATCTCCAAGAACACGATAGGAATGGCTCCGACGACCGTGAAGAATATATAAAGAATCAGGAACGCCCCTTATTAAAAGAAACAAAAACACTAAAGATCTGCTTTAAAATGATGCACATGGTATTACGCTTACTCTTTGCATTTTACAGGAAAAACGTTTAAGTCCTCCTGAAATACGCTGGCGTCTTATGTCACCTACCTCCACCATTGCGCATACAGTAGAAAGGGAACTTGATGAAGGCTCCCGCTCCAACACTGTATCCAAGTAGCGAGATGACGTAGTCAAACTGATTGTGCCATTGTTCGCGAGCCATCGTTGTTCCCACACTATTTAGGGATTGAAGTTGTTTAATGACATACATAAATTATTAAACAATCCATTTAAACACAAAGCTTGAATCATTTAAAGCGAACTATATTAACGCGGATAGTTGTTTACATCATGACGTGATCCGTCCCACAAATATCTTTTGTAGTTACGTCCCGTGGTTTTACAATAGTCATGAAAAAGCGGCTACGGAAATGTCTTTCACTTGAAATAGAAGTTGCACCAGTAAAGTTGGAAATGGAAGGAATCCAGACCCGGTTGCTGCTGAAAATGGTTTTATATGAACGTGACCGCCTCCGTGGCCTAATGGTAGAGCGTCCGCCCGGAGAGCGGAAGGCCCGGGGTTCGATCCCCAGCCGCGTCATACCAAAAGACGTTAAAAGATGGTACTTGTTGTTACCCTGTCTGGCGCTCGGCATTAAGGGGCTAAAACAAGGACTGGTCGGCTCGGAGTCAGTATACTGTGTCTGAGTGGGGTATTCATGTTAAACTGCGGCATGGTATCTCAGTGTGCTAGCACTATAAATCGGCATCAGTCCGGACTAGTACAAGCAGCCACACAAACACACACACGCACATGCACGTCTCTATATAAGTGCAATAATCTTGGACGCGACGTTAAACCCCATTTCACCTCACCTCAGGTCCTTGATCAAGAGCCTCATCTGGCATCTATGTTTCCATCATATTTCAGACTGGACCACCTTTATATGAACGTCCTGTGAACTTTGGGTGTGTGTCATACTCAAGCTAGATGAGGATGGGGATTACTGCCTGAGGCGGCGTGATTAGATTCCCAATACAATGCACGACAGCATGGAACTTCGTGATTTACTTAAAGAAGAACATTCTCTGCTATAACTTCGAATCAACGCTTCATTTGGTGAGCCGACATATACATGATCTGTCTGCCTTCAAAGTCCTTTATGAAGCCATTTTTATTTAGACATTGAGGAATTCCACTCAAGTAGTTCTGTATCTCTCCGGTCGATTGATAAGGTAACCACGCGACATACTGACGTTCTTTGGGAAATGAACGACATTCAGCTTGGTCGTGTTCATCATTGAAAGGTTACAGTACAGGTTAACTCGTTAAAGAAGTATGTGGAGACTGGCTAGAGTGGGATAGGAGATACCATTTTCAGGTCCATTTTAAGCTACTTTCTTTTGTGATCATGCTCTTGCTCAAAAGGTTTTATGGTAGACATGCGAAGGACGTTTCCATATTTGACGCACCAGTGACAGAAGTGAGGTCTGAAGCATTCGCCTTTTTTGATTTGTGCCATATGTTCCCGTGTTTTTCAGGTTAATTCCGTTGAGTGAGTGAGTGAGTTATTATTTAACGTCACATGGGCAATATTTCAGCCATATCGTGACGAGAAGTTACATTTATGATACATTTATGATGCATGTATGTAAACTGAATACAAAGCTGTCAACGAAGGATAGTAGAATAACTAGAATATCACAGTCTAATTCCTTTGAATGTGTTTGTGGTGAAGCAGGGTGCGCTGACCTTTTCGCGAACACCTGATATCCCCACAATTTGATAGTGATTCATAAACAAATACTTATGATATACAGTAAACTACGGTTATAACGAACTAAAAGGGACTACTAATTTTAGTTCGTTATAACCGTAGTTCGTTATAAACATATATACAGCACAACTACAGCAAATAGTCGGGACCAAAAAGTAAGTTCGTTATATCCGTCAGTTCGTTATAAGCGTGTTCGTTATAACCGTAGTTTACTGTAGTCGAAATCATACAATGGCTTGTTTTAGTGATGTCTCATAATTACGGCAATATTTATGTCAGGTTTGCTTTTATTCACTGTAACGTTGTCATGCCATGGCACTAAATGTCATGTCTTGGTACAACATAATATCACATGTACATGTAGAATTTCATTAAAGTCTTACAATCATTAGAAATTCACGTTTCGATTCGTTATACCTAATTACTGAGTCTCAAAGCTCTTATCTGAACGTTAACTGATATAACAGTAATAGATCTATGGTTATTTTGTAGCCAAGTGTTTCATGAATTAGCATGGTATTTAGTATCCACAAATCAGTATCAGTGGTAACTGTCAACCGCCACAATTTGTCAAACATTCACTCACACTACAGGGCATAATGCGTATGGGTCTCCAAATGCCGATTCAATGGCATTTCTCCAATTAATCTTGCAGCGCCTGGCCAAGTTCAGCCTATGACGTTGACGCACACGTCTCCCTATCATGGCCCAGACGTGTTTGATGGGCTCATTGCTGGCCATGGCATTTTATGGATGCTGTGCTGCTCGAGTTAAGCACTGACGATTCGCGGTGAGCACGGGCGAAAGACAAAAAGTCGACCCACACGCCTTGCAAACAGGACAACAAAGGGTGTCTGAATGTTGTCCCGATGGTACTGTCCTGTGACCCTGCCTTGCACAATATACATTGGGTTCGGTCAGGCATAGTGATGCCACCCACATCATTCCCGATTCACTGCCCAATTTGTCATGAAGGGTTATATTGGCTTGACGTTCATTTCAACGGCGCCAGACACGACCAGGCCTATCCTGGAAGTGTAAAGTGAACGGGGTCTCATCTGAAATGATGACATCTGACATGCAGCGATTACCCGGGTTTCGACTTTCTGTACACGTCTGTTGGGGCGACACAAGACATGGCCGTCGAGCATTGAGATGAGTTGCATTGAGAGGTTTTCTAATCGTCTGACCCGTACTTCATACTCCGGTACAGACCGCCTCCGTGGTCTAGTGGTAGAGCGTCCGCCCGGGGTTCGATCCCCGGCCGCGTCATACCAAAAGACGTTAAAAGATGGTACTTGTTGTTACCCTGTCTGGCGCTCGGCATTAAGGGGCTAAAACAAGGACTGGTCGGCTCGGAGTCAGTATACTGTGTCTGAGTGGGGTATTCATGTTAAACTGCGGCATGGTATCTCAGTGTGCTAGCACTATAAATCGGCATCAGTCCGGACTAGTACAAGCAGCCACACAAACACACATACGTACATGCACGTCGCTATATAAGTGCAATAATCTCGGACGCGACGTTAAACCCCATTTCACCTCACCTACTCCGGTACCCTGATGAAAGTGTGCAGCGATTTGTAGACCGTGGTTTCTGATCAATAACTTATGTACTGTTGCCGTTGACCAGGGACGCCCTGAACGGGGTCGATCGTCAACATTTAGGGTTTGATGGTACCTGTTTCAGGGTCTGCTAATCACAGATTGTGAAAAATTTAACCTATTGATTTCTGACAGTTTTCTTATCGCTAGTTCATTTACAAACAATGAATGACATTAATTTCATCACAACTGTATGATAAGCAGAATCAATAGTGAGTGAGTGAGTTGGGTTTAACACCGCTTTTAACAGTATTCCAGTTATATCGCGGCGTGTCAGCTTAATGTGGGAGGAAAGCCCGAAGTGATGCAGGTCTCGGACGTTTACCACTTCGGTGAAACCAAAAAGCACGGGTATGGTGCTGACCAACCTAGAAACATAATCGGGGCGAACCGGGATTCGAACCCACAATCATAGGTTTCTGGCGTGCCCAAGGGACGCAACTCTGCACATCGAATCGCGGCGCCTTAGACGACTGGGCCACCCGTGCCCCCAGCAGAATCAATAAGATCGACAGAAATATTGATGCACATCGATTAATCGAGCTTCCCTCAAAGAGTCAAAATGAGGAATGGCACCATACGCACGTGTGGGGGTGGCACTACTGCGGCACGTGCAAACTATCGGTATTGTCATTATCGGTATTGTCATATGCAAATTTCATGCAAATGTATTTCGATGGGAAATTATTAAACATTGATTAACATATATTATGTTTGTATGAAATTAAATAAATTCCCTGAAAACTGGTCAGACATAACAAATGAATAAAAAAAATTTGAACGACACAATTTATGCATAATTACACACATCTGTTACAGATATGACTTTCACTTGTTTTATCAGATATGACTTTCACTTTCAATACTCTAGAGTCGACGATTCTCAACAAAACATATGTACAAATTCATGCCAATATATACCTGTATATATTATTGTTAGAAAAATACAGTAACCGTCTAATGATCTTAAATAATTAGAACATCCTGTTTAAAGTGACTTCGTATGCACCATAAGCCCTTGCTGTATAATCGTGTTGATGCGCGATGCCTTTTACCAAATTCTAGATGTCAAATAAACTTCTTACAAAGCATACCACAGCATGACAGGACTACATGAATTCGAATATGAAACATCCCGTAGAAGTGCCCACAGGAAAATTGTTCTTCACTGAGCAGAATACTTGTGATTTGTGATACCTTCGATTTTGTTAAGTGCTGTCTTAATAATGTTTTGTATTACATAGTTTTGCTTTGATATGCTGGTATAGGAACCAAATGTCTGATAAAATGATATACTTGGGCTGATATACTTCCATCATAGGGGTATAAAGCAAAGAATAAATAATTCTGTCAAAAAACAAATATACCAATTACATAAAAAGCGACCCGTGAAGATTCGGGGTAGATTAGGTCTTCAGCAACCCATGCTTGCCGTAAAAGGTGACTATGCTTGTCGTAAGAGCGACTTACGGGATCGGGTGGTCAGGCTCGCTAACTTAGTTGATGCATGTCATCGATCTCAATTGCGCTGATCGATGCTCATGATGTCAATCACTGGATTGTCTGGTCCAGACTCGATTATTTACAGACCGCCGTCATATAACTTGAATATTGCTGAGTGCGGCGTTAAACAACAAAACAACAAACAACCACATAAAAAGCATCATGACAAATTGGAGTGTATGACTGATTGATTGTCACACAATCTCATTGCTGTCGGCGACCATATGATGTTGGGAACCAATACTCTGAACACAGATCTCAAACAGGATAGTGTGTAATATTACAACAATTACAAATATTTGGCATTATCTTTGTATAAAAAAAATGAAAGTATAAATTACAGGGCAGAT